ATTCAGAGAGAGAGAGAGATTTACTTGCATAATAGCGTCTGAGACAAATTAAGAAAAGAGGGAGAAACTTTGAGAGCCAAGAACAAAAAAGCCTGCATATTTTAATGCTTAATATTATGCTTGAAGATTTTTCCATGAACTTTTAATTAAGCTGTGTTTATAGGCTCACATACTTAGGAAGATTTTTGTAATAAAAGAGAGCTTACTTCTCAGGTCTTCTTCAGCTCTCGTCTGTTAAGTAAACCCTGACATTTGATTGTTTATAGACATATAAGCATGCATACACTTTGTCTCTCTACTGAAATAAACTAGGATCACCTATCCATTGTTTAAAGAATGCTTTTGGCAAGGTTCTGTGAGAAGCCACAGGCTAAAGCACTCTTCACTGGGCAGTAGCACTCTCCTTGAGGTTTTGCAAAGATTCCAGAAACAACTCTTAAAGAACATTGAGACCCCTACAAACAAGAGTGGTGCGTAATTTCCCCAAACATTAAAGGACTGCTAGGGCAACAGAATCATGGGTTTCCTCAGTTATTATGTTGCTTTGCAATTTTCAGAATATGCCTCTTCCATAAAACTGGATAAAGACAGGCGTTTCTGAGACTCTTCAGATTGGAAAGGGACCTTCCTAAAGTGTCAACTCTGCATGAAGCAGAAGTGGGGGAAACTAGGAACGAACAGTGCCAATTAACAAAAAATAACACATTTGTCACAAAATTCTCAGTCATCTCAATAGACAATATTTAATAAAATTTTACATATTTTTAAAACATTACTTCCTATGGTCACAAACTCAAAAACAGGCATATTTGATTATAAAAGCCTAGTTACAAATAGTTTGCCCATCTCTGACAGCACATATGTAATATCTTTTATATAAATAAATAAATAAATAAATAAATAAATAAAAAGAGATTTTATCCAGACCAGTAGTAGTAGTAATTACTTTATAGACCTAACACTAATTCTAAAGGATAATATTATTTAAGCACAGGAGAACATCAAGAAAACAGATCAATTTCTTTCTAAAGAAAACATTTTAAATCTTACCAACTGCAGTAAGAAAAGCTAATTAAAACAAACAAAATAGCAACATTGATACCATATTTTATACAGATTACATTGTAGTGGTTTATATAGAAGAAAAGATCATGATGTTCAGTTCCTTAAGACAATATATGGTTAAACTGGGATTTCTGCGAAAGCTGTAAAAATCAAAGGACAAGAATCCACTAAAAGTTTTGTGCTGCCCTGATCAGGCATAGATTTGCCAAAAATTTGGCTTCAGTATTTTTATCTTTCAAAGTGCAGAATGTGGACTGCAGAATTAATTTTAATTTATTTATGTTTTCATTTTCTTGCTGCCAGTAATGCAAACAGGGTAGACTAGAGACATACAAAACCCACTGCCAGGTCACTTGCACTATGACTATCTGAGCAAGACAAATATTTTGAAAAGTTGTAACTTCTTCCTCCCGCCATGTTTTTAATTGATATTTTGAGAAGAAAGTCCACACTTACGTTTGTTAAAAGGTTTAATATTTCTCTGGAAAAAGTAGAATATTTCTATTGAAAAAAGAATCTTTTACAGCTTTATAGATGGCCTTGTGGACATCATCCTTCTCAAACTAGTTATGCAAAACATGAAGAAATTATAAATGTTTAAAAATACATGCCCTGTTAATTCAGTTAAATGCCAAACAGTAAAAGCATTCAGCTGTCACCTCCCAGACTCCTTCCCAAAAACATAAGAGTTGTGGAACTGGAGAAATACAATGCACTGTGAGGACACATGTTTTAACATTAAATTTAAAAACCACCCTTTCTGTTTGTTTTTGTTTGTGTTTTTTTTTCCTTTTTCTGTATCTTTTACTCACTCTCCCTAATTCCCTGTTCGTTTTTCTCTCCCATCCTGTGCAGTTTTTCTCTCTCTCTCTTTCACTGAATAAAGAAAGATGTATTGGTAATGTTTTTGTTTTTAATTACACAGACCGGATCTCTATCAGTTCCCAGGAGAGAGAGATGAAGAGACTGTTGGATATGGCTGTTCCCATAATCCAACTTTCAGCCTGACCTAATAGTTCCTTTCCTCCAGCACCTTGCACCTACCCCACCAATTCTCAAATACAGTAAACACTGCCTCCAAAAATATTTAGGACTCTTTAGTTAGATGTCTGCACAGTTCAAATGGCTTCTCATATGCTCCCAGAGATGCTCAGTGGGCATTAGGAGACTGCTACCCCCAACCTTCACTCTGTAGGGAGGGGGATCAGGGGACTAAGGGGAAAGCTTCTTTGCCTCTCTAATCCTGACACGGGCTGATGAGAGGCAGAAAGCCAACCTTCCCCCTGCTGGACAGAAGCAGAACAGCAAAAGCTTTCTGTAGGGTGCAAGGTAAAATCCCACAAGGCACCTATGTGGTCACAGCTCCCACCCCCAAAAAATGTATAGGAGGGACAAAGAGACCTAGCTCCCCTGAAGATTCTGGAGAAGGCATTGTGGACACCTCAAAATACCTTAAAGGCAAATACCTGTTGGGAGAAGGGTATTGCTAGAACTTGAGGGGTTTGGTGTAAGAGCAGGGTGCTGAACCAGGCAAGTAGAAAAGGACTTGGGAGTCCTTTCAGGAGCTGCCATTATTAGTATTAATTTTTGACAGAGTTTTTGGAAAGAGGGGCCATGTGGGAGGGGGAAATGGAGCAGAGAAGGGAGAAGCTAATATTCATCAGCTGGTTGATATTCAGAAACATGTAAATGACCAAACAGAACTACATAGTCTCACCATTAAATGTATTCTTTGCTTTGCTCATCCCTACCTCCTAGAGACACTCTACAGCTTACTCTTTTCTATTCATTCTTCTCCCCTCACATCTCCCCTCAGTATCTCACTCTATTTTTCTTCTTCCCTTTTCTCTCTCCTTATCCCCCACTGCGTGTCTCTCCTGCCAAAAACACAGCCGTTAACATAACAATGACAAAAAAACACAACAAAAACCAGTCTAAAGCAGTACAGGACAGTAAAATTGTTATTTGACAGTTATTGTGGTATGGTTCAAGTTAAAACATGCATAGATTTTTATTGTTAAATAAACCCATCAAACCACCTTAATTTAATATTCAAAATATTTTTTAAAATACAGTTCCCTCCTTTCCTGCATTATTTCTATGCTATATCTTACCCCTTGTTCAATTCTCCTGGCATGCAACCACAACACTTCATGGATTAACCTCATTAGATCTCACATACAATTCAGACTGGGGGTGGAGTCCAGGCCCTAGTGAAATAAATAGGAGATGACCACAGCTGGAGATGGGACATTGCAGGTGGCCAGATCGAGCATTCTCTCTCTCTCAGCTGTGTGTGGGGGAGCTCTGAGCTCGTGTAAAGCCCACAGAACTGGCTCCTCAGACAGCTGCCTCTAGGCTCAGTGTAGATCAGTGGTTCTCAACCTATTTACAATTATGGGCCACATATGCAGCTCTCTGTGTGATATGTGGGCCGCATCCACACAATAAATATTCTACCTCTATAGCTCTGAGGATGTCACATGTGCCACAACTGTGTGCTGGTTGGGCTGCAAGTGGCCTGCAGACCACCGTTGAGAACCATTGGGTAGATGGTGTCTTGGTGGAGGGACAGAGTATATCAAGGGTGAAAAGGGGTGAGTCAGTTGCCAGGAAGAGCACAGATCTACCAATTACCTGCTGCTGTACAGTCCCTTGAAGACTATATGCAGCTGGTGTAACCAGAGCAGGAACGAGAACAGATGTGGCTTCAAAATTAGTGAGCCATAATTGCTCCCTGATGGCTCACGCCATCCTGTGCTAAAATCCAGTCCAATAACTGGTTTTGCTTAACAAAACATAATGTGATCATGTGGACACTATCATTTTACATACCTGTACAGTATTATTATTTATGCAGGGCACTTAGACTTATTCCAGAATATGAGTCTGGTCTATGAACAAAGGCACCCAAGTCACAAACACACAAACTAAACTATTATTTCACAAACTATTATTTTTCTCTTAATTCCCTTGTTAAACTTCTACATTCCTGGGACAGGGAGGCAATACATGGCTGCAACATATGTGTGCTAAAGTTACTGAACTGACAGCATCTCTCACAATTGTGATTTGCAATACTGATGATTAGAGAATGGATTATTATAAGAGATCATTAGAAATATTGAGCCAGAATATTATCTCTGGCATGTGTAGATTTACACCATTGTAGAATCAGACCCATTCCCTCTACTGCCCTACATAAAAAAACAAGGCGGCTCTTATCTCTGTAGCAAGATCTGTTAAGTTTGCACACTGGTTGTTTGAGTATCGACAATCTGAGTTATCTGTTCCATTTATGCCACTGTACCTTATTGCAAATTGAAACAGCCTGGCTACTTCTGGCTGGAATCCCAGCTCTCATTGGCTGAGCTATCTGACTCTTTGCCCACTTCCTTCTTGTTCTGCTTTGTGTTATCTGATATTTGCACTTTGTTACTGTAGCTTTTCCCAAACTTGGAAATTTTCCTCACTGTTTTGCTTGTATTTGATTGTGTTATTGGCTGCTGGGCTTACCTAGCTATATCCTTAATCTATCTACGGGAACTATAATGCATCCATCCCCATAGTATCTAGACATTTCTTTACGTGCGTTTCATTTAATCTTCACTCATTTAAGTTAATTGTATCAATTCTTTTCAACATTTTTATTTCCACTTACATTGCTGGAAGGTCCTAGAATATCACAGGTGGACACAAGGACCTAAATACAATAGAAGAGTCTGATACAGTTTTCCTTCCAAATAACACAAATTTGGCTGAGTGCGCCCTTTGGTTGCAGCCCTGTGGTGCTGCTCATTAAAGTTAGTTGTCCTGCTTCTTTTAGAGAAACTGTCTGACACCTGTCTGTCTGCTATGTATTTGGATCAATGATAGCTTTGTAGCATATAGATCAATCACTTTTTGAAGAGTGAAAACTGCTAAAAATTTCTTACCTATATCCAACAAGACCTGGTCTTCATTTTCACTTGACGGAACCAGAGGATCTCTGAAAGGCTAGAAAAAGGAAATTTGAGCTAGATTTTTAAGTTAAATGGTCAAGTTTGAACTTCATTACAAACAGTGTCTGGTGCTTCCTGAATTCTCTTTAAATCTTTTCAGCACCATTTGTTCATTTCATTTATTTCAATAGTAAGCAGAGTCAGAATGAGCTCTAACCTGACATCTGGTGGTGAGCTGTGGAAAAGGACTTCAGGGGCTGATCTTATTTGCATGGGCACTCTCGTTTGCATGGGCACTCCCAGTGATGAGCTGCCAAAATCTTAACAATGGGTTCCCTCCTCATCCCACGAGGGGGTCATTGCCTACCCCCGCCTCCCGGGACTCCTGCCCCATCCAACCCCCCCGCGTTCCTTGACGCCCCATGCCCAGGACCCCTGCCCCATCCACCCCCCTCCCCAGTTCCCTGACTGCTCCCAGAACCGGGCAGGAGGGTCTCGTGGGCCACCGTAATGGGTGCCCACCCCACCCCTAAGAGCCAGAGGCACCTGCCGTGGGGTGAGGTGGGGAGTCCCGGCGGCGCTTACCTGGGGCAGCACCCAGGAAGCATCCAGCAGGTCCCTCTGGCTCCTAGGGGCAGGGGAGCATAGCTGGCAGGGAGCAAGGAGAACAGCCACTCCCCCACTGATCACATCAAAAGTGGCGCCTTAGACGCCGACTCCCTGGATGCTCCGGGGCTGGAGCACAATGGGGAAAAGCCGGTTCTCACCAGTTCGCTAGAACCGGTTGTTAAATTTAGAAGCCCTTTTAGAACCAGTTGTTCTGCGAGGGACAACTGGTTCTAAAAGGGCTTCTAAATTTAACTGGCCAAAAGTGGCGCCTTAGGTGCCGACTCCACAGGTGCTTCAGCCCTGGAGCACCCAAGGGGAAAATTTGGTGGGTGCAGAGCACCCACAGGCAGCTCCCCGCACCCAGCCCCAGCTCACCTCCGCTCCGCCTCCTCCCCTGAACCCACCACCCTGCTCTGCTTCTCCGTACGCCCCCCCGGCTTCCCGCGAATCAGCTGTTTGGAGGGAAGCCGGGGAGGGCAGAGAAGCAGGCCACGGCTTCCCGCTCAGGCCGAGGGTGGCGGAGGTGAGCTGGGGCGGGGACTGGTTCCCCTGCACGCCCCACCGGGTTACCTGCTGTGGTGCAGGAGGCCCTCCTCGCCCCCCCCCGCCCCAACTCACCTCCACCTCTCTGGGCCTGAGCGGGAAGCCGCCACTTGCTTCTCAGCCTGCCCCGGCTTCCTGCGCGAACAGTTGATTCGCGGGAAGCCGGGGCGGGGGGCACGGAGAAGCAGAGCGGGCGGCACGTTCAGGGGAGGAGGTGGAGCGGAGGTGAGCTGGGGCCAGGGGTGGGGTGGGGAGCTGCCGGTGGGTGCTCTGCACCCACCAAATTTTCCCCTTGGGGGCTCCAGGGCTGGAGCACCTGTGGAGTCGGCACCTAAGGCGCCACTTTTGGCCGGTTAAATTTAGAAGCCCTTTTAGAACCAGTTGTCCCTCGCAGAACAACTGGTTCTAAAAGGGCTTCTAAATTTAACAACCGGTTCTAGCGAACTGGTGAGAACCGGCTCCAGCTCACCACTGGGAACACCCACCCTGCCTACCATGATGGACTCCTTGCCCAAATGGTCACATTGGCTGCTGTGGGATCCCCAGTCTCTCTGTTACTGGGGCAGGAGTAATAAAGGGTTGTTATCCTGGTTATGTGAATCAAGGACAGTAGAACTGTACTTGGCATTTTATGATGGAGAGACTCGCCCTCAACTAAGTAGCAATCGCTAGGCAAGGGACATGGGTTCCAAAACCCAGTGAATTGAGAGAGGCTGGGGACAGGTATGTGTACCTAGCAGTGTGGGCCCCTTCTGAGGGCCCTAAACACTACGTTGACTCCTCCTCTCTCCCCATGGTGTAATAACAGAGCTAATGCTGGCTCCGTTAGGAGTCTTGTTACATGCTGCAGAGCTGAAATCACTGACACCTAGCTCTAAGCATTAGACCTACTTTGGGCTAGTGGTGCACCAGCACTGAGGGTCCCCTACTACCAGCTAAAAATCACTGAGAGCTGAAATCACTAAAGAGCTAAGTTGCTGAGAGCTGTGTTAAGCGGGGGGGCCTGAAGACAAGTTGGTGAGCAGACAGCTAGAGCAGAGTGGATAACCAGGCGGTGGTGGAGAGGAGCAGACAGCGAACAGAGTGGAGCAGATAGCTGGGCAGGTGGTGGAGAGGCGCGGATGATGGTGAAGACTATAGCAGAACCCCATGGAGAGGCATGGCACTCAGCCATCGACCTGAGAAGTGGAGCATGGAAGATGCCCCCCACACCTCCCTCCACTTCCACCCAGGCTGGGAGGTAAACTCTGCAGATGAACTTCTGAACTCGGGGGCTGCACTGACCAAGGACAGAAACTGGGCGGGAGGGGGCTGACTATTGGGTTGCTGGACTTAAGACCCTGAGGGGAAAAGGATACTGCCAAACTTACTTGGGGGTGGGTCTTTTGCTCATGGTTGGTGTTATGAATCCTGTTTGTGGTGCTTCCCCAACATAATACCACATTGTTTCCCTCCTTTATTAAAAGGCTTTTGCTACACTCAGACTCTGTGCTTGCGAGAGGGGAAGTATTGCCTCTTAGAGGCGCCCAGGGGGGTGGTATGTAATTGTCCCAGGTCACTGGGTGGGGGCTCGAGCCGGTTTTGCATTGTGTTATTGAAATGGAACCCCTAGATACTGAACCCGGCCCTTGTTGCTGCCAACTCTGATGGGCAGAAGGGTTACACAATAAATACAGGTTTCAGAGGAACAGCCGTGTTAGTCTGTATTCGCAAAAAGAAAAGGAGTACTTGTGGCACCTTAGAGACTAACCAATTTATTTGAGCATGAGCTTTCGTGAGCTACAGCTCACTTCATCAGATGTTTACCGTGGAAACTGCAGCAGACTTTATATACACACAGAGAATATGAAACAATACCTCCTCCCACCCCACTGTCCTGCTGGTAATAGCTTATCTAAAGTGATCAACAGGTGGGCCATTTCCAGCACAAATCCAGGTTTTCTCACCCTCCACCCCCCACACAAATTCACTCTCCTGCTGGTGCTAGCCCATCCAAAGTGACAACTCTTTGCATAATCAAGTCGGGCTATTTCCTGCATAGATCAAGGTTTTCTCACATCCCCCCACCCCCATACACACACAAACTCACTCTCCTGCTGGTAATAGCTCATCTAAACTGACCACTCTCCAAGTTTAAATCCAAGTTAAACCAGAACATCTGGGGGGGTGGGGTAGGAAAAAACAAGAAGAAACAGGCTACCTTGCATAATGACTTAGCCACTCCCAGTCTCTATTTAAGCCTAAATTAATAGTATCCAATTTGCAAATGAATTCCAATTCAGCAGTTTCTCGCTGGAGTCTGGATTTGAAGTTTTTTTGTTTTAAGATAGCGACCTTCATGTCTGTGATTGCGTGACCAGAGAGATTGAAGTGTTCTCCGACTGGTTTATGAATGTTATAATTCTTGACATCTGATTTGTGTCCATTTATTCTTTTACGTAGAGACTGTCCAGTTTGACCAATGTACATGGCAGAGGGGCATTGCTGGCACATGATGGCATATATCACATTGGTGGATGTGCAGGTGAACGAGCCTCTGATAGTGTGGCTGATGTTATTAGGCCCTGTGATGGTGTCCCCTGAATAGATATGTGGGCACAATTGGCAACGGGCTTTGTTGCAAGGATAAGTTCCTGGGTTAGTGGTTCTGTTGTGTGGTATGTGGTTGTTGGTGAGTATTTGCTTCAGGTTGCGGGGCTGTCTGTAGGCAAGGACTGGCCTGTCTCCCAAGACTTGTGAGAGTGTTGGGTCATCCTTTAGGATAGGTTGTAGATCCTTAATAATGCGTTGGAGGGGTTTTAGTTGGGGGCTGAAGGTGACCGCTAGTGGCGTTCTGTTATCAAAAAGGCTGACAAAGGAGGTGCTGTTGTCATCATGAATAGGTCGGAATATGAACAAGAGGCTGCTCGGCAGCTCTCCAACACGAGTTTCTACAAGCCATTACCCTATGATCCCACTGAGAGTTACCAAAAGCAACTACAGCATTTGCTCAAGAAACTTCCTGAAAAAGCACACAACCGCATTTGCTCCAACCCCTCAGACAGAGACAAACACCTACAAGATCTCTGTCAAGCTTTCTTACAACTACAATACCCACCTGCAGAAGTAAAGAAACAGATTGATAGAGCCAGAAGAGTTCCCAGAAGTTACCTACTACAGGACAGGCCTAACAAAGAAAATAACAGAACGCCACTAGCGGTCACCTTCAGCCCCCAACTAAAACCCCTCCAACGCATTATTAAGGATCTACAACCTATCCTAAAGGATGACCCAACACTCTCACAAGTCTTGGGAGACAGGCCAGTCCTTGCCTACAGACAGCCCCGCAACCTGAAGCAAATACTCACCAACAACCACATACCACACAACAGAACCACTAACCCAGGAACTTATCCTTGCAACAAAGCCCGTTGCCAATTGTGCCCACATATCTATTCAGGGGACACCATCACAGGGCCTAATAACATCAGCCACACTATCAGAGGCTCGTTCACCTGCACATCCACCAATGTGATATATGCCATCATGTGCCAGCAATGCCCCTCTGCCATGTACATTGGTCAAACTGGACAGTCTCTACGTAAAAGAATAAATGGACACAAATCAGATGTCAAGAATTATAACATTCATAAACCAGTCGGAGAACACTTCAATCTCTCTGGTCACGCAATCACAGACATGAAGGTCGCTATCTTAAAACAAAAAAACTTCAAATCCAGACTCCAGCGAGAAACTGCTGAATTGGAATTCATTTGCAAATTGGATACTATTAATTTAGGCTTAAATAGAGACTGGGAGTGGCTAAGTCATTATGCAAGGTAGCCTGTTTCTTCTTGTTTTTTCCTACGCCCCCCCCAGATGTTCTGGTTTAACTTGGATTTAAACTTGGAGAGTGGTCAGTTTAGATGAGCTATTACCAGCAGGAGAGTGAGTTTGTGTGTGTATGGGGGTGGGGGGGATGTGAGAAAACCTTGATCTATGCAGGAAATAGCCCGACTTGATTATGCAAAGAGTTGTCACTTTGGATGGGCTAGCACCAGCAGGAGAGTGAATTTGTGTGGGGGGTGGAGGGTGAGAAAACCTGGATTTGTGCTGGAAATGGCCCACCTGTTGATCACTTTAGATAAGCTATTACCAGCAGGACAGTGGGGTGGGAGGAGGTATTGTTTCATATTCTCTGTGTGTATATAAAGTCTGCTGCAGTTTCCACGGTAAACATCTGATGAAGTGAGCTGTAGCTCACGAAAGCTCATGCTCAAATAAATTGGTTAGTCTCTAAGGTGCCACAATAAATACAGAAAATAAAGAACTGCCTACCCCAGGCTTTGTGAACCCTTAATGCCATTATGAGCTGGGTAAAACCTTGTTATGGGTTGAGTTACAATCTTGTTCTAAAACTGGTGTGTGAAAATGCCCTTTATTTAAGATAGCTGTAAGAGACAGTTAAGGGGACACACCTAAAACAAGGCCTAATAGAATCTGCTCAAAAATGGGCAGGGGGCTTCACTGGGTATCATGACCAGGTGCATGCATGCAAGCCAAGTCAGAACACCCAGAAACTGAGAAGAGACAGAAGAGCGAGTGAGGCAGAGGCAAAAAGCAAGAAAGCCAAGCAGTGGCCTGTGACCCTGGAAAAAGCAAGAGACAGAACTTTTGGGTCTAAGGAGCTTGGGGCTGTAAAATAAGACATTACACTCCCTTTGTTCTTGCTTCCCCCTGCATTCAGAAAAGCAGGACTTTGTCCATCCCTTGGAAATAAACAAAACTGCATCAAAGAAAATACCAAACTCCACCAACTGGAACATCCCTTGAACTTTGACTAGCAAGCTGAGGTGGAAAGAGGCAACGACACATTAAAAATAAAATTGCCTAAAAGATAAAACTAGCAGCCTCTCCTCCAGACAAAAAATAACCAATGAGAGATAAAAATCAAACCCAGACAATACCCCACCTCCCTGCAAGCATTAGCCTTCATGGTGACCCTCCCTCCACAAGAGCTCAGGCTTTATTGTGCCTTGAAGGTTCAACAATTACAGACTGTTCTGGAGCAGAGTGGGATATAAGTTTAAAACGAGAGGGCTCCAGCTCAAAGATCTCTAATGACCAAAGCTGTGAACTTATCATACAGGGAGAGGCAGTCTCAGGCCATTTACAGCTTTACAGGTCAGAACTAATGCCTCTAACTCCGTCCAGAAATCAACAGGCGGCCAATGCAGATGGGGGATAACTAGTGTCACATGCTCCCAGCAACATAGGTGAGTTGCTGCATTCTGCCTCAACTTCAGTTTCCAAGTTGATTTAACATGTAGCCTTATGTAGCTGCAGTAATCAAATCTGAAGGTGACAAAGGCATGGATTATGGTAGAATGGTCTGTGTCCACAAGAAATGGTCAGTCTCCTGGACAGACGTAGAAAAAAGAAAATGAACAAGGCCACCACTGCTACACAGAATCATCACAGGACTGGAAGGGACCTCGAGAGGTTATCTAGTCCAGTCTTCTGCACTCAAGGAAGGACTAGGTGTTATAATCATCTATACCCAGGTGTAGCTCCAACACCACCCCCAGATTGCAAACTCTATTGACAAACAACAGGCACAGGCCTTAACAAAAGGGGAAGATATTATTCTACCCATATCTTCCAGTTGCTTCTCAACCTACAAATATCACTTCAACCTTGTACATTCTGAGCCTCAGCCAGCTAGCTCTTGTCCACACCCAAATCTCAATTGTGTAAACTAGAAAACGTAAAATTGAGACCAAGGATTTCTCACAACCGGAGACATACATATAAAGCATGATTTAAAACAGACATCAAATAGAGCTGACTAGTCAAAATTGGATTATATGCAAGCATCACAGCTTCTCTTTCTCCTATCAAGTGTAAAATATCTTATTTTACTTTAGATCCCACATAAAAGTAATCCCAAGCAGGAGCAGTATTTTTTATCCCAGAATTTCTCACTGTCAGTCTCTAACAGGCTCTGTGTATGATCCTGCAAATATTGCTAACGAGAGTTTCCCCATGTTATCTCCCAGGCTCAAGATTATCCTAAAACATCACCTCACCTTCCTGGACCTCCACTGCCCTCCTCAGCTCCACTCCCCATGAACAATGGAACTCTCTATCTCAAGGAGGAAGCTGGTGCACATAGGAGATGGGGCTTCACCTCAGCTGGTCCCAAGGCTGTAGAACACACTCCCGTAGGAATGACCACAATCATCATGACTTTCCAGTCCACACGTAAGCCTCATTTCTTTGACCTGGCTTTCCAGCCCACCAACACATAACAGATTCATTGAAGTAAATAATAAACATACATACACATAACTTTTCCCTGGGGCAGGAACGGAAAGGAAATGTCACTTGGCAGGCATTAGTCACCTTATTTATTTTTTTAACTGTGGAAGATACTCAGATACCACAACGTAAGGTGCAGTAGGAGAACTTAGACAGAGGCTAGTTATTCATACAAGGATAAAGCTGTACCTTCACATCTTCACTTCCAGGTGCTGGTTCATCAGATGCCAAGTTCATGAGATCTGTAAAAGTGAGATTTCTTATCAACTTCTAGTGATCAACAATGGAAGTTTACTCTTTTTTCAACTAGGAAGGGAAAAAAATAATGAAGCAAGCAAGCAAGCAACACAGAACAATGTACTTTTGTAGCATGCACATCCCCCCAAACTAGCATACCAGTGGGCAGAATACTAGATGGTTGTACAACACGCTGTTATGTTATTATGGACCAATTGTAAACAGGCTCTTGAGCTTAAAGGAACAGACGGCGAAAATATATGTTGATTCATAGACGAGGCTGCTGATGTGCAAAGCGGTCCACACAATAGCACAAATCAGAAGTTGTGCCTTAAACTATGGGAGATCCCAACAGCTGTGCATTGTCCTAAAGACATGTCATGCATTTTAAAAATTAGTCCTGGCATTTTCAAGAAAATGTGATAAAAAACTTCATTTCTGTCGCTCTCTTTTCTATGGTTTCTGCTCAAGACAATTGGAAAGGACACATTGAACACAAAGACATGTTCAAACTCTGCAGGATATGCCCAAGCACAGACATTTGTGAAACAGCAAACAGAGCAGGAGTAATCTGCATGTAAGGAAGCACAACAAGCATCTGCAGGGCTTCCTAGAACTGTTAGCTACTGTCACATTTGTTGGTTAAAATAAAATAAACACTCCCATTTTCACAATCTTTCCTGATATTTAGTTTTATTTCTTGTATATTGAGGCTTGTAACTCAAGATTCAGGTCTGCCCTGAGATATAGACTCAGATGATATTTTAATAGACTTTAAGGTCAGAAGGGACAATCATGATCCCCTAGTCTGACCTCCTACACATTACAAGCCACAAAACCTCACTCACTCACTCCTTTAATAGACCCCCTAACCTCTGGCTGAGTCACTGAAATCCTCAAATCCACCATTTACACTAGTTTAAACCTGCAAGTGATCCATGCCACATGCCGCAGAGGAAAGCGAAAAAGCCCCGGGGTCTCTGCCCATCTGATCCAGGGGAAAAATTCCTTCCTGACCCCATATATGGTGATTAGTTAGACCCTAAGCACATGGGCAAGTCTCTCCAGCCAGACACAAATATGCAGCTGCATTTTCAGTTTACCTTTGTAAAATCAGCTACTGCACATGAATTTAACCATAACTTAATATTTAAAAATCATGTATATCTTAGTATTTGGGGGGAATATCATTCATAGTCCTTTGATGCTTGCTATACCTTTTCTCATCCTGAACTCTGTGCAGAGCCCAGGGAGAGGTTACAAACCAATAACACTGTACCAATCCATCCCCTCACAGGAACAACTGCCTGGTATCTAAGTCCAGCTGCAGACTCCAGCAATAATAATATGGTCTAATCCTTCAATCCTTTTTCAAATTAAACTATCTGGGAATGAAATCCTGGCCCCACTGAAGTCAACAGGAGTTTTGCCATTCTGTACAAGTAAAGGCTACACAGGATTGGGTGCACACTGATTAATTTCTTAATGAATCATTTAATCGTTATCTTCTGTTGCAACTCAGATGTGTGCCTCGCCCTGCTCCCCGACCCCATCTAGAGGGTTCCTACTGAAATGCAGCAGGAATGTGAGAAGATGTGACAGTCCTTGTCTTGCAGAGAGATCACTGTCTTCCATGCTAGGCAGGACCCACTTGGTACACAGTGCACAAGCTCCAAACAACCTGCAGATGGCGCAGAGGTACAAGTTACAAGCACCACAACAGCAGCAGCGATTTCTACTGACTACTGTAGTAACTATTAGCACTACGAGTGAGAAAATGCTCTAAACATTAGTACATTTCTACTCTGCTTCCTGCCTCTGCCTCAGGCTTCTCATGTGACCTTGGGCAAGTCACTTTACCACTCCGTCTCTCAAATGAGGACAATAATATCTTCCTGCCACAGACGTAAACTCTCTCATGTTTAGGAGATGCTCTGGATAAGGGCCAAATATAAATAGCTGCGCAGAACACTGGTACTGTTTCCTGCAATTGTTGCATTGAATCTCATGAGTGCCAAAGTCTAAAGGCAAGATTCCCAAAAGGTGTTTTTGGACCAGGCAACAATTCTATAAAACAACGAATCCCTCCCAATAAAACAGGTGCCACAATAACGTAATATTTACCCACAGTATGGAAACAGATCATCCCAGACACCACTTTGTAGTAACCATGAATAAAGAATGATGTAACTCTGGGTAGGTCTACACTGCAGCTGGGAACAATTCTTCCAGCTCAGATACACAGACATGTGCTAGCAGGGCTCAAGCTAGTGTGCTAAAAATAGTTGTGTGGACATTTCAGCTGGGGCGGAAGCTCGGGCTTGCAAGCCTACCCGACCCCCTAGGCTTCAGAGCCCAAGCCGGAACATACACATTGCTAGTTTTAATGCGCTAGCTCAAACTCTGCTAATGCTAGCTCAAGCTCCATTAGCTTGCTCCCAGCTGCAGTAGAGACATACCCTAATTTCAAAAAGCAAGATGGAGAAAAAGAGCTGAACTTTAGAAAGACAATGCCCAGGGAATGCTCCCCTAAATTCCTCTAGAAATTTTTTCTAATACTACTGGGGTTCAGTTGACTTTACTGTAATTCATTCTTACAGTACTTGGGGAAACACTGTTTACTATACAGTAAGTGATTTAATATGTAGACATAAATTGGCTATGGCTCAAAATAATAATATTCTGCACAATTATTACTTGCCACAAACCTTCAAAATTAGAAAACCACAAGATTTTTTTATAACATAGGAATGGCTGAAATAATCAAAGTAAAATATATTTGTACTTGATTTTGCATTCTTACAAGAGAATGTGTCATTCTGTGTATTTGAATTTAATTAAGTTGCTATGGGAGATCCACTGTTAAGCTAGCAATATCACCTTACGTTGACCCACTGCATTGCCCATCCTGAAATGCAATCAAACTGCTGTATTGCTATAGCAACCTTCAGTAGATAATAGCTCAGAGCTTCTGATAGCATTATGCTTTAAAGGTCTGTTGATCTTGACTTTAGGCCCACCCAGGAGTGAATACGTATTACTTATTGGAACAATAGATGCTTTAAACTCTAACGGGCATCCCTTTATGAAGTTACTGCAAAGAATTTTTTGCTCTAAGCTTAGCACCTCAATTAACAAAAGTATTTAGTAGAATGTTGTAGAAAGAGTTTTATGGACCATTTGTTACATGATTTCTGTTTGTAGCAGCAAAAAAAATTAATTTTGTTTCCAACAAAAATTTTGTTTTGTCTCTTTAGCTCTTGTTAGCAGAAGGTAGAACATGGACCAAAGTTATCAATTATATTAGTGATTTTCAGGTATCTGGGTTCAATGACTGTATGAAAAGCAACAAATACACAAATAGCTAGAGCTACACATATTCCTTTTTGCCAGCTGATAAAAATATGAACATCTGTGACAGTACAAAACTATATGAAGATACAGAAACACTGATTCATTATTATTATACATTTCTACAGTAGTAGCACCCAAAGGTCCCATTGTCAGGATTCTGTCCCCATTGTGCTGGGCACTGTACAAATACACAGTTCTGCAAAAGTCAAATGATAACCATGTATTTACTCAAGTCATAGGGCTAGTCTACACTACATTATATCTCTAGCAGTATAGCTATGCCTGCAAAGCTCCTTAGTGGACAGGCAGCTTATACTGGCAAAAGGAATTATTTTGCCACTATAGTTAAACCATCTCCCCGAACAACATAAGCTATACCAGTTAAAGGACTCTTTTGCCAGTATAAGCTGTGTCTATATGATTTTTCCACACTCCTAACCAACACAGCTATGCTGGCAAAACTTTGTAGTGAAGAACTGGCACTAATGAAGAGTGATAGAACTCTCTTTGCCATTAAATTGTGATGAGCATAAAGTACTCAGCCTGCTAAGGTGATGAGTAATTCCTGCAATGGCTGAGTGCCAGGAGCTGAAGGCACTCAGCACCACACAAAGTTGCTCAGCATCAGCTTGCAGGTTTGAACCCAAAATGAGAGGGTATAGTCAGAAATTAAATGATTCCTGAAGTGCAAAATCAATATTTATTGATATTTGCTATTTGCATGCATCAAGTCAGACTGCTTGGACATGCACTAAAAAAAACTACCAGGCATGACATGCATTGCCCAAGCTGCTGCTATGAATTCACCTGCTGTTAGTGACACACAGCAGAAGGTACAAGATCACATTGACCAGGAGCACTCTGAGAAATCTGCACCCAAGATAATAAAGTTTTTGATAGCAAAGTTTCTAATTCCTTGTATTATAAATGGTTGCTTATATTTACAAAAGTAGATTTTAGACTGTTAGTGTCAACGCTGATTATTGCTGATGGTGACTTTAGATCTGCCTTTATCATGTTAATTGCCTGTAGGTTGCTGGAGAAGTTGGGCACAAATTTCCAGCAAGAGCTTAATGATGACAATCACATGTAAGGAACTCTTAACTATGTAAACTGGAGCTAGTGTCTATTAAGGAGGTCACTTCCTCAGTCTATTAACTCACCCAGAATAATTAGCTAATACCTTTGGAATCCAATTCTTATTTACATCATCATGCAGTGCCTGGCCCTGTAACGTTTATGCAACTGCTTAACTTTATGTCGGCTTCAGTGGGACTTCTTACAGTGTATGAAGTTAAGAGCATGTGCATGTCTTACAGGATTAGGGCCTTATCTAATGCCCCACTGCATACTAGCCATTTCTTACAGATAGACACTAATGTACATGCAACAATGAGACCTTGAATCTGGGATAGCCGTCAACTAAATGCCAGACCAGAGTATTATAGACTTTTTAGTGATTTTTTTTTATAACTCTTCTGTGCTTCTTGTTACAAGGTCTGTAAATCTCAGTATGATCTATCTGGTAAAGAAAAATAATTATGATAATGAAATAATATCCTACAACCCTTATACCGGCAAACTTGCAATTGAAATCAATATGGGAGACTCATTTAAAACCATTTGAATTTTAAACAAGGTCAGCTCCCAGACTACTGCACTGGGCAGCACAGCATGGGGAGGAGGTGACCAGCCCTCTGTGGAGAAAGAAGTGGTTCAGGACTATTTAGAAAAGCTGGATGAGCACAAGTCCATCGGGCCGGATGTGCTGCATCCGAGAGTGCTAAAGGAGTTGGCAGATGTGATTGCAGAGCCATTGGCCATTATCTTTGAAAATTCATGGCGATCGGGGGAGGTCCTGGACGACTGGAAAAGGGCTAATGTAGTGCCCATCTTTAAAAAAGGGAAGGAGGAGGATCCGGGGAACTACAGGCCAGTCAGCCTCACCTCAGTCCCTGGAAAAATCATGGAACAGGTCCTCAAGGAATCAATTCTGAAGCACTTTGAGGAGAGGAAAGTGACCAGGAACAGTCACCATGGATTCACCAAGGACAAGTCATGCCTGATTAATCTAATTGCCTTCTATGACGAGATAACTGGCTCTGTGGATGAGGGGAAAGCAGTGGACGTGTTATTCCTTGACTTTAGCAAAGCTTTTGACACTGTCTCCCACAGTATTCTTGCCAGCAAGTTAAAGAAGTATGGGCTGGATGATTGGACTATAAGGTGAATAGAAAGCTAGCTAGATTGTCAGGCTCAACGGGTAGTGATCAATGGCTCCATGTCTAGTTGGCAGCCGGTATCAAGCGGAGCGCCCCAACGGTCGGTCCTGGGGCCGATTTTGTTCAATATCTTCATTAATAATCTGGAGGATGGCGTGGATTGTACCCTCAGCAAGTTTGCAGATGACACTAAACTGGGAGGAGAGGTAGATACACTCGAGGGTAGGGATAGGATACAGAGGGACCTAGAGAAATTTGAGGATTGGGCCAAAAGAAATCTGATGAGGTTCAACAAGGACAAGGACAAGTGCAAAGTCCTGCATTTAGGATGGACGAATCCAATGCACTGCTACAGACTAGGGACCGAATGGCTAGGCAGCAGTTCTGCAGAAAAGAACCTAGGGGTCACAGTGGATGAGAAGCTGGATATGAGTTAACAGTGTGCCCTTGTTACCAAGAAGGCTAACGGCATTTGGGGCTGTATAAGTAGGGGCATTGCCAGAAGATCGAGGGACATGATCATTCAAAATTGGAAAGCATCCAGCGGAGGGCAACAAAAATTATTAGGGGACTGGAACACATGACTTATTAGAAGAGGCTGAGGGAACTAGGATTGTTTAGTCTGCAGAAGAGAAGAATGAGGGGGGATTTGATAGCTGCTTTCAACTACCTGAAAGGGGGTTCCAAAGAGGATGGAGCTAGACTGTCCTCAGTGATAGCAGATGACAGAATGAGGAGTAATGGTCTCAAGTTGCTGTGGGGGAGGTTTAGGTTGGATATTAGGAAAAACTTTTTCACTAGGAGGGTTGTGAAGCACTGGAATGCTTTACCTAGGGAGGTGGTGGAATCTCCTTCATTTGAGGTTTTTAAGGTCAGGCTTGACAAAGCCCTGGCTGGGATGATTTAATTGGGGATTGGTCCTGATTTGAGCAGGGGGTTGGACTAGATGACCTCCTGAGGTCTCTTCCAATCCTGATATTCTATGATTCTATACCACAGTAAAGAGTTCAGGACTGGCCACTAAAATTGTTCATAAAATGCTTAATTCACTCTTCTTTAATTCACTCCTATCTTTATTAATCAGATCTTTTTGACTTCACTGGAACTTCTTGCAAGTTGACCTGTTTTTATTTCAGCTGAATACTGCCCTCTTCTGGAATTTTAATGAGGCTGTAATTTAGCTGTTGTAATTTTTTAACAAGTATTAGAAATTCTTGTGAACATTTTTAGGTTCACGCTGGTAAATTAATTATTTCAAAAGTCTGTAGAATGCATGATTTCATACCTCCCTTATAATGAAATGCCTTATGTATTTTACCATTATCTATTGCACAGCTCTCTGATATCATGTATACAAAGCGATCTTCCTAAATAAATATATGGCACAAGGACATATGCTACCTTACCTAGGACTTTAGAAAGCTATTACAACCAAAGATGAAAAGCTGTACCTTCTGCAGAATCTGTTGAATTGCAGGGCATTTGTGGTCCTTCCACTGTCCCAGCTTGTTTTGAATTAAGACTCTAAAAAACACCAAATTCAAACAACAACTTTCTTGGATGCCCAAACAGTAATAAACCCATACATGTATGCACTCACACACACAAACCAAAGGAAGTCAAATAGATACATTTAAGTTAATATTAGAAATTTCTACATATATTTTGGGGAGAGAAATTTATAAAATATTTTAAACTAAAAATATTTGGGGAAAATTTACTTTGTGTTTTTAATATATAGGTTGTGTAACATATCAGATTTAAGATTTGTATTTTATGTAGCATACCCTTTCTCCTCCCTCTCTCTGGAAAAAAAAGAATAGTGTTTGCATTAATATAACACTTCATATGTTCAAAGTTCTGTACTAATTAACCCCCATAACTGTCCTGTAAGGTATAAGAATTTTACAGCTGAAGAAACTAAGATGGAAAGGTGAAATGACTTCCCTAAGGCTATACAATGAATGAGTAGGTGAGCCAGAATTAGAACTCAGCACCTCCTTGACTCCTAGTTCTGTGCTCATTCCTTCGTACCATGGAAATCCATATAAAGATGGTATTGAATTGAACTCTGTGTGTCACGTAGTCAGTTTGAATTTGTATCCTGTGATGCTACACAATTAAATAAAGGATTAACAAATATACAAAGTTACCTGTTTCCAAGTATTTTCCAAGCTATAAGAGCATTAGACAGTAAATCACATGCATACTGCACTGCCATCTTTATAGTCTCTGGATCCCAGAAAGATCAAGGAGCCAAAATAGCCCTCACATAATTTAGAGCAAGCAGCCTAAGGACTACTCAATTTTACATCAGCTGCAGGAGTCTCAGAGGGAGTACCCCACCAGATGAGGCTGAGCTGGACTGCTGTGCACTCTGGCCCAGATTTTAAATAGCATTTAGGTAATGCTGCACTCAGCATTGGCAATGCCTAACTGATATAGGAGCCCAGATCTCATTTTCAAAAGTGAGATAGGCACTTAGGAGACTAAATACCATTAACTGTCAACCCAAGTCTGAGTTTTTCCTATTCCTGCAGCTAAGGAACAGAAACAGCAACTCAGCTTAGCTCCTCCTTGATGCACCACTTGATTTTTCTGATACTAGGCAACAAAAGGGCTTCCCTATGCAGAACCTTTAGAAACAATGATCTAATGCATCATCTGTCCCCTCTCCATTTTACTGTTTAAATTTGGTCACTAGAAACAGGATTTGTTCTCTCCACTGATGTTCCATAGAGTCCTCTTTCCTCACACTGGTTGCATTTACTAATGTATCAACAGCTGATACACCCAAACATAGCAGCCGCACAGTCAGACATTTTTTAAAGGGAGTAGGGCTACTCAGCCTGCAGGACATCCATTGTCCCTCATGATGAAAACTTAACCATGTCCTGGACTCCCTAACAGAGCTTCCTTTTGAGCCCCACCACTCAGGCTTCCCCTACATTTGGTGTAGACTTCCCCTACTCCCTACATTTGCTGTCAAAATGGAATTGTTTATAATGTAATCACAACATCTCAAAATTGGGAGCAGTATCAATACTGTCATTTCCATAGGGATAAGATGGTTCTGAGGACGGGTCCATTGTTCATTCCAAAACTTTACTCCGTTCTCCACCATCTCAGGAAATCTCTCTTCCATTACGCTGCCCAACATCAGTCCATTCACTAAATGGAGACAGAATGGCATGAACTAGTTCTAGCAATTGAGGTAAAGTAAGCCTCAAAGCTATCAGCAGCCATTTTATGCACAGGAAAACATACAAAACCAAAGGACGTTTGGCACCACAATGGATTAAAGCCCATTCTGCTCTGCCAGTGTCTGCTTCCTGGGTCATAGTTATACACTTTGTCTGTGGAGCAATGTATAAAGCATCCATGTGCTCATTTATCCATACATTCTCAAGACACTATATGTTAAATATGCAATCTTCAGCCTGTGGTAGAAGTGTTGAATGCTGTAAATTCTACATCTATTTCAATATAAGTAGCTACATTGAAATGTTCACTGCTCTTCCCCGCACCCGTTAGCTTTCAAAGATGTCAAAATCCCATTATGAGGACTGGTGGTCCTCCTGATTGTGACAAAGAAAGAAAAATGTGTATTTACTCTGTACTTTCCTTAGCTTAAGTTAGCTAGATCAGACAAGCTGACCCACCCACTTGGGGTGACAATTTCTCAAATGGAGTTAATGACAATTTGATTTCCTAGGCTCCGTATAATATTTAAATAAAAAGATCATGTGCTTTGGTACAGTGGCTTGTTTCTCTACCTAGGTTTCAGTAAGCCTACCATTAAAAATCTTGCATCACTGAAAGGATGATCTATAGTGGTTTTTCCCAATGAGGAGGAGCTAAGCTACAGAACAGATCTGCATCTGTCTCTTCAGGAAGAGGGAAAACCCATGTGGATGACTGGCAGAATGTTTTACTGATCAGAACAATAATTGTTTTGCCACCTTTAATCTAAGAATTTTGCCATGGACACTTTCAATATGGCACATTGATTACCATTTTCTCCCTTTTTTCCCTCCCAAGTGCTGCAAAAAACACAGGGTTTGATGAGTGTAAGGGGTATAAACAATATTACAATATTTGTCATGATTTTGTTTTTGCCTTAGGAAATCAGGGCACCTGTGTGAAAGTTGTTGGACGCAAGTTAGAGCTATGAATCTGGGACCAGTTTTTATATTGGAAAGCCTAGAAATCTAGGGAATGACTAAATAGGAATGCCTGTGTTATAAATCAAATGCACAAAACTGGTGTGCAAAGGTCAAAGCATATCATGTAGCACATTGTTAGTTTAAAAACCTATAACCGTTTTGATAAATGCTTAAAAATAATTAAACAGAAAAACAAAACATGGAAAAGAAAAGCAAAAACAGAAGGGAAATTTAATAGCAAGAAAGGGAAAAACAATAAATAATAATAATTTTATGTAACCTTTTAATCCAATAATTTGATACAGACAGACAAAGGCCCAAATTTAGGAAAGCAGTTAAGAACATGTCTAACTTTGACTTCAATGGGAATATTCATGTGTTTAATTACACTACTCACCATGCTTAAAGTTACGCATGTGCTTACGTACTTCACTGAATCAAGACTAAAGTGACCAATATATCATACAACAAATACAATATAAATGTAAGCTCTTTGGAGCAGGAACTATCTTTCCTCTCTGTGTTTGTACAATGTCTATTTTTATGAGGAGAGGCTGAGGGAACTGGGATTGTTTAGTCTGCGGAAGAGAAGAATGAGGGGGGATTTGATAGCTGCTTTCAACTACCTGAAAGGGGGTTCCAAAGAGGATGGAGCTAGACTATTCTCAGTGGTGGCAGATGACAGAATGAGGAGTAATGGTCTCAAGTTGCAGTGGGGGAGGTTTAGGTTGGATATTAGGAAAAACTTTTTCACTAGGAGGGTTGTGAAGCACTGGAATGCGTTACCTAGGGAGGTGATGGAATCTCCTTCATTTGAGGTTTTTAAGGTCAGGCTTGACAAAGCCCTGGCTGGGATGATTTAGTTGGGGATTGGCCTGCTTTGAGCAGGGGGTTGGACTAGATGACCTCCTGAGGTCCCTTCCAACCCTGATATTCTATGATTCTATGATTGATTCCAGCATACAATAGGGTTCTGGTCCATGACTGGGGCTGCTTGCTGCTATAATTAGTAACAACAACTTAAAAAAAAAATACCTCCCACTACAAAACATGAAAACAAATGGAAAAGGCAAGATTAAAAACCAGAGAGAAAGGGTTTTACAAGAAAAGTATTTACCATAGGGCCATTCTAAAAACATCTCTGGAAATACAAGAGCTTTATCAAGTACTTCTTTAACATTTTTTCTACACTTCAGTTTCATGCGTGAAAACAACCACTTTGGCACAAATGAAAAGGTAATGACAATAATCCTTTGTCTACAAGACCAACACACTTACCATCCCTAAAACCTGAACAGTTTAAACTAAGAAAGAGTGCTACCCAAGAAAAACATATTGAGTATGAATAGCAAATGGTGCAAATTGTCAAAAAATATATATGCTTTTTGCATTCTGCTAATTTGGCACCTACCTTGTAAAGAAAGGTTCTATCCCAGAAGTATTTCCTGAAGAGCTTAATGTCAGACTCCAACAAACCTTCTGCCGTGTGATTAAATGTCAGTGTCAGAGTTCCTGATGAATGAACAAACTGTAGGAAAGCACACTCACTGATCTCAGCTCTAGAAATGTCAAACGAATGACTGCCCTGAAAACTGAAACAACACACTATTTAAATAAAAACATATGCTCTGTGCACAGGTTTAATGAAAATATAAACACACAGCACTTTCTGTTCTCGTGCACAGCACTTCAAAATTCTACAAAAAAAATCTAAGGCAGAAAATATGAAACATCCATGAAAAACACATCTGGGAAAACAAATAGTTACCAGTGAATCCATTCACCATAAGAAAATTCTGCTGTTTCAAGCCATCAAAATGAAAAAATGGTTACATTAGAAATAATGGCAGCAAAATAAAACAGCGACACTAAACAACATCTAGTATTCCCTACTATTGTAAAATAGAAATAGTACCTTTTCCTGTTAATGTTGCCATATATAGTAGCGTGAAGAAACTGGCAGGCTTACTAGCCGATTACAGTGAAAAACAGACAGTGTCTCAAGGGAGCGCTGCACTGTTTGGATGTTACAAACAAATGAGACATTCATAACAAAATGTACTGTACCAGCATTGTAAGTCATTTTCTCATGCAAATTAAAGTAGGCATAATACTCACACAAACTGTATGTTGTGCAGAGCCATAAACGAAAGAGCTTCATTCCAAAACAAAAATGTAACTGAATTCTTGCATGTATTTTTTTCTGTTCACTTGTGGCTTTTCATTTCTAATGGGGACTTTCTGATGGTGGAATATGATTATTTGGTACTGCAGGACAAATACAAATACAATGGAGGTCCTAAACTCCATACATCTGAAACTTCAGATAATTAAGGTCTGGAAGCTTCAGTCCTGCAAGTTACTGGTCAGGGCTGAAGCTGCCTGGCAACTCCAGAAACTTAGCCCTGCTGGGTTGATACTCAGCACCTTCATTTATCCAAACCTCTGTGTTATGGATGTTTCAAAGTGCTCCAAGACCTTTGTAAAATTGGGGTTCGATTGTATTTTTTAAAACAAATTTCCATGCCCTAGTTCCTAACAGCACTTTAGATTATTAAAACAAAAACCTGTAAAAAGTTACTTTGATTTTCACCATTTTAATAGTGTGTATTTTTTCACAGCTTCTTTGCATCTCCAGAACTTGGACAATGAAAATAAACCTCCACTTTTGAGAGGAGTCACTTTCATTTTCTAGTTCTGGTGCACTAGCACTAGACCAGTGTGGCAATCCTTGAGTTGGGCTGCAAACACTACAGGGGCATGAATGTTTAAAGTTACCCAAAAAGCAGTTTTCAATTTATCTTCCCATTTCATGAAGCATTTCTACGAATAACAGATTTTTATAACTCCCTTTTTCCCCTCCAAAACTTGTAATTGGGACTTAGTAAACAATTTTGGCGATGCACAAAAAGGAATAAAACACAACTCCCTCCTTTTTGCCACATTGGTACTGCAAGATTAACAACAGTAAAAATTTATTTTTGTCATTAAATTAAGCAGATATAACTCTGACTATACAGAGGGAGCAGCTCAGAGGAGTAAAAAAGTGTGCCATTTCTACGTCACTTTTCAGACTAGAAAAGTATATTAAAGGCTATAAACACTCAGATAATCATGGAAAAATGACTACGTGCTACTGTACAATTTTGTGATGAGGTCCCACAAATCCAAAATAAACAGTGGTATTTTTAAAATATTAATTCTTAAAGCAACAGTCTTAAGTCAGATGCCAAACCTAAACTATTTACTCCAAAAAGGAAAAATAAAAGAATTCCCTCATGTAAATATCTAATCTATCCAGAGTTTAAACCAAATTTAGGTTCATATGTTTGCCATTATATTACTGTTAAAAATGTTACCAATTTTGCCACAGACGTAGAATGGAAGATATACATGAAACCCTTATTTTTAACAAGAAATACAAGATTTCACACCTAAAAACACAACGCTGACAACAACCAACAGAACAGAAACAAACATTCAGTTTAAACTATTTTGAAATAAACATTTTGCTGTTCAGTTTTAATGGTTAATAGTTTAACAGAAGGAACGGGCCATTACACTCACTTCATGAAGATTTCAACAAGTCTGGAGTGCCCATTCTGGGAAGCCAAATCTAATGGTGTTGCTCCAGCTTCATTAGGTAAAGCTAATGCCAATGGCCCACCAGGCTGAGATAACAGGAATTGCGAGAGTTTAACCAAGCCCAATCTTACTGTGAGATGAAGCAGTGTTTCTTTGTGATTAGACTCTAAAAAACACATGTGTATTTGTTAATAAGCATCATACAAATCTTTTTAAAGTCTGTGCAAATATAAAATACATATAGTCCAAAGATCCACTTATTCCAAAAGTTAAAGAAAATGCTTGGAGTCGGAGTCTGTGTTTTCTACATCTCAACTCTCTCCGCGTGTACAGCATCTAGCACAACGGGGCCCTGATTGCTGACTGGGCCCTCTAGGCTCTACTATACTACAAATTGTAAATAACAAGGCAGCTTTCCAGCTGCTTCGCAGTGCCTCAACAGCACAAAACAGCCACAGCTGGGACCAAGAATCTAAAGCAGTTTCTTTACAAGGCATGTGATTTATCCAGTAAGGCTGTTTATAAATACAGCAAAAGATTCTTAATGATGCAGACATGCAGATAAAACATACAGGATGCATTTCTTTCATTTCTCATTTCAACATGGTTTCACCTGCCTGTTTTTCCTCTCACCTGCCTCTTTGTTCTCTGCTTTTTCACATGTAAACATCAAGGTCAATGAAAGGTGACGCTTAAAAGAAATAGTGAACAAGACAGACTGAGTCTCTTTCCGTCACGTCCTACTCTCACACTTCATAAAGAAAATGCTCGGGCAGCAAATTTGAAAAAAAAAAAAAAAAAAGCAGGCCTGCAGCTCAGATTCTTCTTCCATTCTGTTCTACACAGGTTTTTAGAGTGCATCTATCACCGTAGTATCTAAGTACCTTCCCATAGTGGATTAAGCAATGTGACCACATACCTGTCACATGCTGGTTGTTCTCTCATCCTCTATCCAGAGAGAGAAGTGTGTGTAGTGGAGGTTGGTTTTGTTAAATATACCTGTTACTATGTGTTTACATGGGAGAGGTGCGGGGGGGGGAGGGAAGAGATCAAACAAATATGCCTCGCACTGAGAAAGTGGTTAGGTTTGTGACAGTCTGTAGGAGTTCATTCTACAGTCTCGGCCTGAAGAAATTTCAGTCTCTGGCACAGGCGAGCTTTACTCTTATTGTTGACAGTTCCATTATGCCAGAGGAGTGAAGTTGACTATCACAGTCTTCATCCTAGAGCTTTAACCGGTATGCTGGGCCCAAGTCATGGAGCACTTTAAAGATAAGGACTGGGAGACCCTGAACTTGGGATTCTATGGGAAGCCAGTGCAGAGGGTGGAGGACAGGTGTGATGTGCTCACAGTAGCCTGTGTTGTTGAGGAGACATGTTGCAACATGGTGTACTAGTTGGTGTTTCCTAAGTGCTGAATGTTTCATGCGCAGGTATAGCATATTGCTGTAGTCCAACTGAGAGGTGATGAAGGCATGAATAACTGAGGCCAGGTCTTCATCCAACAGGGTGGGACTGAGTGTCCTATACAAGTGGAGATGGTGGAAAACTTCACTCACAGCCATCGCTCTGAGAGAGCTCAGCAGAGCAAGGAATCCAAGACTACCGACTGAACTAATCAATTGTGGAGTGAACCTTCAATCAGAGACTGCACTGTGCCTGCAAACTCCTCAAAATATTTTCCTCTGACCAGCATCTTGCACTCTGATTTCAACATGGAGTTAAATGAACGGCTAGAACTATTAATATGTTTGATATTTCAGTTTAGTCAGTCTATAGTCCTCATAACAAGAATCATCAATGTCTGAAGGAACAAAAATCTCATTTTGGACCCACTAGTTTATACAATTCAATGTAAACATTATCTCATCAAGTAAATCCATTTTTCTGAAATAAATAGGATGAAATTCACTAAGGACAAATGCAAAGTACTCTATTTAGGAAGGAATAATCAGTTGCACACATACCAATTGGGAAATGACTGCCTAGGAAGGAGTACTGCAGAAAGGGATCTGGGGGTCACAGTGGACCACAAGCTAAATATGAATCAACGGTGTAACACTGTTGCAAAAAAAGCGAACATCTTTGTGAGATGTATTAGCAGGAGTGTTGTAAGCAAGACACGAGAAGTAATTCTTCTGCTCTACTCCACACTGATAGGCCGCAACTGGAGTACTGTGTCCAGTTCTGGGCACCACATTTCAGGAAGGATGTGGACAAATTGGAGAAAGTCCAGAGAAGAGCAACAAAAATGATTAAAGGTCTAGAAAACATGACCTATGAGGAAAGATTGAAAAAAATGGGTTTGTGTAGTCTGGAAAAGAGAAGACTGAGAGGGGACATGATAACAGTTTTCAAGTATGTAAAAGGTTGCTACAAGGAGGAGGAAGAAAAAATGTTGTTCTTAACTTCTGAGGACAGGACAAGAAGCAATGGGCTCAAATTGCAGCAAGGGAGGTTTAGGTTGGACATTAGGAAAAACTTCCTAACTGTCAGGGTGGTTAAGCACTGGAATAAATTGCCTAGGGAGGTTGTGGAATCTCCATCGCTGTAGATTTTTAAGAGCAGGTTAGACAAACACCTGTCAGGGATGGTCTAGATGATAATTAGTCCTGCCATGAATGCAGGAGACTGGACTAGATGACCTCTCGAGGTCCCTTCCAATTATATTCTAAATGACTGTGAAAATTGAGCAGAATCACAGGTTACCGTTCCATCAATGACAATGGAAAGGTGTGATCCTTGATTGGAGTGGGGGTGGGGGGGTGAATAATCCATTAACAAAGACCAGCACAGTTTGTAAAATTTATGCCCCACCACAATAGTTACAACAAATAGAGTGACAGAAAGATGACTCAAAAGAGAGAGACAGGGTAGTTGGTGAAAGAAGCAACTAATTATATTACCCAAGAATACTGCTGAATCAATCAGTGCAATCACTGTAACAACAGACAACTACAGTGACTCAGAATTGAGCGTGGGACGGATTCTACCATCAATACAGTGAACAGTCCCTTGCCCTATAATGACATATTTTATAACTTACCATAAGCATTGTGGTAACTTATTTATTTGTATCTTCAAGACATACAAAAATATGTTTTATATTATAAGGCACTTATTACTTAAAAATCACATGATAATTCAGCCAGTCAAACTTCATGACTGGCTCAACATTAATCACCTTACACCACTTAAAGAAAACATTTTGAACAACGCACCTGGCTCTGTAACAAAAACAAAGCCCACTATAATTGCATTAGGGGAAGAAAAATGAAGTTTTAAAAAAATCATTCCTTAGGTTAAGTTTCAGGTAAGCTAGGTAGTTACTGCTATTGATGTGGAAGTTTTCAAAAGCGACCACTGTGCTTGGGTGCCCCAATTTTTGGGTGACCCACCCTGAAACACCTTGTGCCTGATTTTTCACAATACTGAGCTCCTTTAAAAGTCCCCAAAAATCTAGGTACTCTGAACTGATGAACTAATCACTTGTGAAAAGTTAGGGACGACAACAAATACCGCCCAGAACAAAGATGAAATGAGTCTTTCCATGCCATATCGTCTAAGCACATCTCAGAGGACTTGAGAATGGCCATGGCCACCTCTAGTCTATTTTTTTTCTGCCTTGAAAAAGAATAATGCTTAAATGGGCACAATCCTGTTTTATCAGTATATTTTAATAGGTTTAATAATCCTGGATTTTCATGTCTTCTTAGAAGATGAAAGATAATCTGCTTCCATACCAAGGGTCAAATTCTGACTGCTCAGTGCTCAAAGACTCACGCCAAAACTCACACCAAGTGACGGCAGCATGGGAGAACTTGAGGAAGTTTTGAAAATTTACTGACTGGCAAAAGGAAAAATGAAAAAAGAAAGAAAAATGAAAAAGTGGGTGGGACAAAAAACCCCAAACCTGAGCATCATTCATTGTATTGCATTCAGTTGCGAAAAGAAAAGAAAAGAAAAGAAAAGAAAAGAAAAGAAAAGAAAAGAAAAGACTGGGGAAAGTTTAGATTAAAAAATGGAAAGATTTGAAAAGGCAAACGCTTTTTGCAAAAGTTTTCAGTTTTGAGAAAAGGTCATTTTTCATTAAAGAACTATTCCCCCTCCCCTCCAAGAGCTGAGTGAAAGTTTTCAACCATTTCTAAGCATAAGAGTATGGCAGTTGTTTAATAAAGGCCTAGATGCTGCAAAGCAGGTGGTGTTGGGGAGGGGATATGCCAGCTAGACCTTGTTTTGCATCAGATCTTGATTCTGCTGCCAAAACACTGTGTTCGAGTGATAAAAATCTGAGCCAAACAATCTGTTTTAAACATTAAATAAATCCTTTTGTTTTTACTTGCACCTGAATCCCTTCCTCTGTCCAAAACAATAAAAGAACAAAACAAATACTTCTCTCTGACAGAAATGACTAAGCTCTTTCTGGGCTATGAACCTCATTCATTTCCTGGAAGGAGACTGAAAACTCCAGACTTGTAACTTGAAGAGAAGACGGAGACGACAACAGGCCGACAGATTCCAGTTTTTCCTGGCTCCATCTTCCTATGAACTCCTAATGCATTGTCAGGCCTTTATATTAGATAAAGAGATTGTTTATAAAATGTTCTTCAGTATACCGCAGTCCTGAAAAACTTACACACATACTTATCTTTACACACTGTGAACAGTCATGTGAGTTGACTTCAGTGGCACTAATCACAGCTGGGCACGTAAGTCTTTGCAGGATCAGAGCCTTGGTTAGTGCCATGTGATTAGATTGGATGACCTCCGCTTGTCCAATATTGATCCATAGTCCTCCCTATTGTATCTTCCATTTTTTGAGATAGGTCACTTATCCCTCATTCCTAAGGGTAGTGCAGGCTACAGCATCTTTTAGCCTATCGTACATCTATCTAATAACATCCTTTAATCAATCTAAGTAGTGCATATAGTTTGGATAAATGCTCGTTCAAACAGCCTGAATATTGGTCTCTGACATTCTAGGCATTGCAGTTAAAGTAGGAATCCAAACTGATATTTTTCTCAGAGATCATTCTGACCTGTCTAAGATTACATCAATCAACTTTTTTTTTTTTTTTTAAACCAGCACACAACAGCCTGGAAAGTATCAAGAGAACTGATTCCTTAAAGATACTAATTCTCACTAGTTCTTCCAACCAAGTCATA